GGAGTGTGGAGCGGACAAGGGAGTCACGGAGAGAGTGGTCCCTCTGCTAAGCAGATAAGGGTGGGGAGGGAAAGATGTCTTTGGTGGTGGGGTCGGATTGCAGATGGCGGAAGTGTCGGAGGATGATGCGTTGGATCCGGAGGTTGGTGGGGTGGTACGTGAGGACGAGGGGGATTCTTTTTTGGTTCTTATTGCGTGGACAGGGTGTGAGGGATGAGTTGCGGGAGATGTGGGAGACACGGTTGAGGGCGTTCTCGACCACTGAGGGGGTGAAGTTACGGTCCTTGAAAAACGAGGACAACTGAGATGTACGGGAGTGGAATGCCTCAGCCTGGGAGCAGATGCGGCGGAGGCGAAGGAATTGGGAATAGGGGATAGCATTTTTGCAGGAAGGTGGGTGGGAGGAGGAGTATTCTAGGTAGCTGTGGGAGTTGGTGCGCTTGAAATGAATATCGGTTTCTAGGTGGTTGCCCGATATGGAGACAGAGAGGTCCAGGAAGGGGAGAGAGGTATTAGAGATGGTCCAGGTAAACTTAAGGTTGGGGTGGAAGGTGTTGTTGAAGTGGATGAACTGTTCGAGCTCCTCGTGGGAGCACGAGGCGGCACCGATACAGTCATCAATGTAACGGAGGAAGAGGTGGGGTTTAGGGCCAGTGTAAGTACGGAAGAGGGATTGTTCCACGTAACCTACAAAGAGGCAGGCATAGCTTGGGCCCATGCGGGTACCCATGGCCACCCCCTTTGTCTGTAGGGAGGAATTCTTGGCCCTGCAGGTTGATTGAAATTCATTAGCCCTGGCATTAGAACCCTCACTGATGTTTCATTATTTTAATTTTTGTTCTTTTATCAATTTTGTTTTGGAGCTGAAGATGACTTGTTGACTTTGAAACAGCTTATGGTAAAAAGAAACAAACAGATCAACCAAGCTTTTGTTTGTTTGTGAGGCCAGGCCTAGAGGTTAATTGCAGGTTGAGTCTTGATCAAAAGGGTTTCTACAAACACAGAAATTCTGGAAGAGAATTATCTTTCAACAGATAGCAGAAATTGGCTATTAATGAGGTCAAAACCTGGGAATTGGTTCCGGGAAGTCTGGAAGAGAGCATATGTTCAAGTAGAAGGCAGATGCTGATTGCAAATTGAAGCCTTGGGAAAAGATGTTCAGACTATCAGGCATTTCCAGAGTTGGAACTGTTATAGAACTGTGTTTTCTGCCTCTGATCCTGCCGCCACATCTGACCGCGAGGAGCCTGCTGCTATTTCACTCACAGTCCACTCTTGCTGCCACGCCAATGACCCCGAATTGCCACAATAGGCTTTAAAGAAAAGAAAATGAAGAAAAAGAAAAACAGCAAAAATAAAAAGAAAAGAAAGCAGACAGGAGCAGATGGGTCCCGGGCTCAGCCCTGCTACTCTGGTGCCATCTTGAATTTTCTTATATAGGAAGCACTACTGCACACAATTGGAGGTAGAAAAGGGGTGTACTTTCTTCCACAAATGGCAATGCATGCTGGATTTGAGTTTTTTTGTTAAACAGAAGTATTATGGGATATAGATCAAAGGCAGGTATATGAAGTTAGGCCCCCACATCATCCATGATCTCATTGAATGGCGGAACAGGGTTGAGAGGCTGAATGACTTTCTCCTGTTTCCATGCCCCATGTTCCTATGGTTCCCATAAGTTCAAAATAGTCACATGTTTGGAATCAAAATCCTGGTACCTCATCAAGTGTATTTCCAGCAGTTCGCCATGTGGCTGGAGGATTGAATCTCGACCCTTGGCTGCTGTGTGGCAGTAAACGTGGCAAGCATTAAGCACATCTTTACATAACAATTAGTCATTAACTCTTTAATAATAACACAACAATATAAAACTGAGCGAGTAAATGGATTATTAGATGACTTGGTCAAATGTTTGGTTTGGAAACAAGTAGTATTTCTAATCATCTTTCAGCTAAAATGCTGACTAGAAAGTAGAAATGTTTCCAGACTTTGCAACATTTAAAAAAATTATTTATTTCATATGAGCATTGCTGGCTGGGCTAGCAATTATTGCCCGATACTACCTACCCTGGTGAAGAGCTGTCTTCTTGAACTGCTTCAGTCCTTGGAGTGTAGGGACACTGACAATACCATTAGAAGGGAGTTCCAGAATTTTGTCCCATGTCACTGAAGGACATATAGTTGAGATTGAGAAGGAAAGCCCTTCATGGTAACCTCAGCCAGTACAGGAATTGAACCTATATTGTTGGCATCACTCTGTATCACAAACCTACCATCCAGCTAACTGAGCTAACCAATCAGAGATATAAAAACTAAGTCA